CGTGCGCTGCGCTCCGCCGCGCCCCCGGGCGGCTCCGAGCGGGAGGCGGCGCTCCTCGGGCCGCTACCCCCTAGGCCAGCTCGGCCGCTGCCCGGCCCCCGACTCCGAGGCTCCGAGGCTCTGTTTTGCACTTTTCATTCAATCCCACCCCCCGTCACTTCCTTCAGAAAACAGAAACCACCCGGACCTGCCTTAAAGGGGCAGCGTACCTCTCGGCCCTTAAAGGGCCAGCTGCGCCCCGCTCGGGCGGCGGCGGAGGTGGCCAGCGCGCGCGGGCCCAGGGCTTCCCGGAAAGCGGTTTTGCGGAAACTGTGCTTTCTCACCCGACTCCCTCCATCCAGGCCGCGCCCAGGCCGGCCGCTGTGTCAGGAGTTTGGGCAAATCCTGTCCTCCCAGCAGGGGCGGGACGAGAGACTCTCCACCCCGCTTCCCGCCCCCCAGCCCCCACCTCTTTTGGCTTGTTCTTGTGCCACGTGGATGAAGTAATCGGCCTCAGTTTTTTAAGGGATTTGGTTTGGTCTCTGAGTTTCCCTGAGACAGCTAATTTCTAAAAAGCTCCTGCAAAAACAGACCTCCCCCAGGCCCGCTACCATTTGCATTGTCTTCCGCCGAGGGAGAGCGCAGCTGGGGCGCTAGCCCTGCATGGACACTGCTCAGTGGGAGATCTTGATACTTGAGGCCACTTCTCTGGACGCAGCCTGGGAAGCCCCCACATGTTGGGAGACCTTGTGGTCTCTTGGCCTTTGTATCCAGGCTTCCTCGGTGCCTCTGTGTCCCTCAGCCTTTCCCTCCTCTCCAACCGCCTTGCCACCCAGTGGTTTCAGTAGACGGTGCACATGTAGGCGAATATTAGTTCCCAGGCCACACACGGGAGATGCCCTGGTGGTGTAGTGGTTATTGCTCGTTGAGCTGTGATTCGCATGACCTGCAGTTTGAAACTCCGGGCAGTTCGGCACTGGGGGAAAGACTGGCCTCTCTACTGTAAAGAGTTATGGTCCCAGAAACCCACAGGGGTGTCTATGAGTCAGCATTGGCTGGAGGGCAGCGCCTTGGTGAGGGGTCACACAGGAGACGCTGGCACTCCAACTTCACGGAAGGAAGAAGTGCCACCATCAGGCTCTTCACCCCCCACTCCCAAGAAAACTTGTCACCCTGCCAAGGACCCCAACAATCAGCTGGGTGCTCTGGGCAAGTTTTTAAAGTATTTGGGGATAGGTATTCCCATGAAGGCTGCTGGGACACACTGTGGTGCCAGTCCCCTGGAAGAACATACCCCTGGGGACTCTCTGCCCTGGTTCGCTCCTAACCTTATCACTTCCATTTCTCCTAGGGCCCCTGTTCTTCGGCAAATCTTGATCCCAGAATCGTGAACACTGTCCTCTAATGTAGAACCCCCTTCCCTTCTGGGTTATTAACGGGCACAAAGGTGAGAACTGGTACCTATGGTTTCCCCAACTTCCCAGTCCTCATGTCAGTGACAGCTCAGTGGTCCTGAGACAAACCAGCAGTCAAACCTTACCCTCTGCCCTCAATGTCTACTGACCTCCTCCAAGCCTGCTACTTCGGGCAATGTCTCCAGGTCCTTCCTTAGCTGACTCCTCCGCCTCTGTCCCTCCCTGCTCAAGTCTCTGAGAGGAAGGAGAGGCGCCCCATGCCAGGGCCTCTTCAGCTATCCCATCTGCCCCACTTCTCCACTCCCTTGAGACACCAGCTGGCAGTGAGTCCGATCCATACATGTCCGAGTAGCACTGTGCCCCACTGGGTTTTCAACCTGCCTTTCAGCAGCGGTGTGGATTATGCTTAACAGTTGGCATCACCAGGGGCTCCAGGGCCTCTCTATCAGGAGAGGGGCCAGGTGGGGCAAGTGGGAATTGGGAGATTCCTGCAGAACACCTAGCCCTCCCGTACTCTTTCCTCTGGTATTCCTGTTGCTAGGGCACTGTCAGTCACTCACCACCCTTCCTGCCAACCCCCTAGCAAGTCCACTCTCCTTCCTCCCCTTAGGGGCCAGATTCATCTTCCACAACAGGTACCTCTACTCAGACAGCGCCTGTCTCAGCCACCTCTCTCCATCCTGAGCTTTCATTCCAGCCAGGTAAGCCTTGGTACCTGCCAGCTGCCTCTCTCTGGGCCCTCCTCCGGCAAGATTCCTAATCTTCCAGGCCAAAGAGAAAGGCAGAGAGACATGCTTGAGAGGTCTCAGGGGTGGCCAGCTCTACAGGGAAGGCTACCTGGTCCAGCACTGGGGGGACAGAGGGAAAAGCAATGGCTCTGGGGCTGAATGCAGGGCTGGGAGGCTGGGGGCCACCTCACTGCCCAGGGCAAGGGTTGGAAAGCAGACCAGGAGAAAGAGGGCGACTTGTCCAGGATCACACGGGGTACAAAGAAACCCCAGGCCTTCAGATTCCTAGCCCAGGATTTCCCCCACTCCGAACGTGGGGTTCCCAACCCAACCTCACAGAGCTCCAGTGATTCTGATGGGCAGGATCTGCAAGCCGGGAGTTGGAAGGGCAGTCGGTATCTGGACGGCTCTGGGTGAGCTGGAGGAGGAAGTGGGGAACAGAGCCAAGTCCCCAAGCAGGGAGCAGGGGCTAGGGCACGGGGCAAAGAGGTCAAAGGTTGAAGTGACTGGAGAGCGGTGCAGAGAAGCTTGGTGGGGGAAAGGAAAGGTGGTCATCTGAGCGCTTGAGGGTGGAGACGGACCTAGAGGGTCAAAGAAGCTCCAGGCGTGACCTTGGGCAAGTCGCACCCCTCTCTTGACCTTGGGCGCTCCGGAGCCCGCGGGGTGCCTCACCTTCTTGAAGTCCGCGGTGAAGGAGACCAGGGTGCCGTCGGGCTTGCGCAGCTCCAGGCTGATGCTGTCCGCGTCGCTGTCCGCCTGCAGGCTCTCCTCGGTCACCTGGCCGTCGGGCAGCCGCACACGG